GTGAAAAACATTTCTGAAGAGGGATGAGAAGAGTTATAATCATTTCACAATGCATCATTAATTTAATCTAGATTACAGTAATGTCTTGTTAGAATTTATGAGGTGAAACAAAAGATTAAGAACTTAAACATTTCTGAGTACACACGTGTATTTGCATACAAAGATGACATATATTCAGCATACATGATAGATCACCAATAAATAGTTTGATATGTTCCATTGACACACATTTGTCCCTTGTGCTATGAATTTGGGAAGACAATATATAATGTTAGGACACTGTGTTTTCAAGAGAGCACACTGTTATCACAAAACTCTGCAGAGGTTGCTTTGAAGAGAAAAAATGAAACAGTCTTCACAGGAAAGGCAGAACTTATACTAAATTCAGAACTAGCTTATATTTGAAATATGGGCTCTGCACTTGTAGGGAAAATGGACATTCCTATGGCCAGGATCCTCACCTGACCCTAATCTACTTGATGCTGTAACTGGCCTACTGCACAGGCTGATGCTGACACCCACTGGCAATGAGCCATTGTTGTTGGTGTGACTATGCAGAGCTCCACCCAGTGCTCTACTGGAAGGCAGAGATGGAGATGATTGTGGGCTGGCCAGAGGCAGATGTGATTTCAGCACTTAACCTACCAACATAAGAATAAAACTTGGGATAAAACCTTTTACCCACAGTGTTCTATTGTTATTCGGTCTTGGTGAATCCAGAGTGAACTTGCCCGGGGGAAATCCCCCTCAGGCAAGACACTCACCTGGTGTGGTTGGCAGGATTAGCTGCAGACTGAAAAATGGAGTAAGTTGCCCTCATGGGAGGAATTCTTCAGCAGGCTGCCCCTATAGATGGGCAGACACCCAGGTATCCCCCAGGGGGCATATGGTCCAAGGTGGCTTGTGTCCCAGAGGAGCGGGACCCTCGCCGGGACTGGGGGGTCACAGGAGGTGATGCCTGCTAAGGCAGTAGAGGAGGTCCTCTGCAAAACAGGGAGGTCCTAGAAGAAACAGAGTGCTCACGTGGTGGTGGGAACGGCGGGTCGGCTATTCCTCCCAGTGTTAAGAAGGGTCATAAAGGAGAACACAGTCCTGCAAGAAGCATGAGAAGAGGTAAAGGTCATGAAGGAGGAAGAAAATTCATTGATGACTGAGATGACCTCACTGCGAGGTCCTGTGGAGATGGTAAAGGATGTAATGATAGCACAAGAAGAGACAGCACACGATGCAGGCTGCAAGGTACTGTGGAGGAGGTAAAAGATTTGTTGAGGAATAAAATGGCATTTCTGCAAAGCACTGTGGAATAGGTAAAGGCCATGAACCCTGCAAGAAGCATGAGAAGAGGCAGCACGAGACTGCTGGCTGTGAGGTACTGAGAAGGTAGCAGAGTTGCTGAAGACTGAGATAGTGTTGCTGCAAGGCACAGGCAGAGCTGGTGGATTTGGGCTCCCAGGTTCAGCAGAAACCCTCAGAGTTCATGACAGCCGGGCTCCTGCGCCTTTAGGATGTAAGGGCAGATGGGATCATTCTGTCTGGATCAGAATGGGAATGCTGGCTTCCCTGACAATTCACCTTGCATTGCAGCAGTGACTGCAGAATGAAAACCAGCCCCAGGGAACTCATTCACTTCTCGAGTGGGTATAAAGGCCACACTTCACACTGCATGGCCCAATCAGGGTGACTTACCATCCCCCCCTGCTAGATGGTAGACATTTGCTGAGCTCCAACAGATGTTACAAGAGTAGGGCATGGAAAATGGGGTTTATAGTCCAGTCAATTGTGGCTCAGATGAGGAGCTGTTTACGGCTGGGATGAGGGACACAGTGCTGCAAATGGCTCCCTTGCTCCCCTTTAAGCCCTTAGTGGCCATTCTTACCCCTCACTTAGGGAAGCTCATAAATGCAGTTACCTGTACTGTGGCAGATGTGGGGAGGCTGGAATGATGTAGGCACTGAAGGGAGTGTGGTCTGCTACTGAGAGGAAGGGCTTAAAGGGTCCCATGAAGGTCATGAGGACCCAGGTGTGGGTTAATTTAACAGGGTCAGGAGCATACAGAGAGAAACTGGATGGGAAGTCAAACAGAATCTTACTGGAGCTGTGGCAACAACTGAAGCCAGAGCAGCGGTTTCAGCCACTGAAGACCAAGAAGCAGAGACTGGACACAGAGCCACAAGTCCAGTCTGTGTGTCTGTATGACTTCCTGCTGGAGAGTGAGGTGGCCTCACCTGAACCTGCAGTTAGAAAATTGGGTGATACAGGTTGACTGAGGGGAGGGTGGGGGCACCTGCCTTGGGGCACTGGGTGGGGACCAGAGGCCACATGTTGAAATACCAAGTCATTGGTCCCGAGTGAATGTACAATGTGTCCTGCCTCTGGGAGACACAGGAGCTGAATGATCACTCATTTATGGCAGCCCTGAGCAGTTTCCTGGGACCCCCACTGTTAGAGACAGATACAGGGGTAAGGCCATCAGAGTGAAACGAGCCTGAAACCTGTTGAGAATAGGGCGCCTACCCACAAAGGAGTATACTATGTATATCTCTCCCATCCCTGACTGTATTTTGGGGATAGGTATCCTGCAGGGCCTACAGTCGAAACAGGGAACCTTCTGACCAAAAGAGGATAGGAAGCAGCCACTGAACACATGTGATCCTCTCCCTTGATCCCCTTCCCACTGGTTCCGGTGAGTGGGAGCAGCGGCTAGGAGCAAGGAGGTGGAGGAACCCCCAGTGAACCTCCATGCCTGTCCGGGGCCAGGTGCAGCACCCAGTCAGGGAGGAAGGAAGCATTTGGCGCCAGCCCCCAGAATAAGCCTGAGCTGATGGAACAAGCCAGGTGAGACCTGAGCCTCTCTGCCCACCCCTTTGAAAGGCAGCAGCCGGTGCTAGCGAAACAACACTCCCACCCTCCCTCGTCGTTTCCAGTGAAGTTCCTGACCCCTCTCCTCCAACACTCCAGCGTGCTCTGCCTGCTAGCCAGTCACCACGTCCCATCATGGGCAGCACTGGCCGTGGGAACGAGAGGAGGTAGAAAGGACTGAAGGGAGGGCGGGATGGCTCATGCCGCAGAGGTTTCCTACTGGTGCCCCACTTACCTAATTCTTTTCTTCTATCCTCCTTAACAGATGAAATCCTCTTAATGGTCACAGCAAGAAAAGAGTGGGGCCATGGAATGAAATGTGACTAGGTGCCTTCCAGCTACAAATATCATACCTGACAACATCACTATGCATAAATACCTACTTCACGAATGTTCTTCCTGGAACACTTCTGGGAACCAAAGAGAAGGCTAAGAAGGCGACAGACAGCCCAGAGAAACGGCTCAAAGCACTGAAGCTCACAGAGCAGACTCCCAAACTGCTCATCCCCCAGCGGCCGCACTCCGGCTTCACTCATAAATTCTAACCAGCCTAACGACTGTTCTGCCAGCTTCGCTGAAACCCAAGGTAGGAAGCTGGAAGAGAAATAAAGGCTGACGGCCTGGAAACAAGAGCAAAAATTCTCCAAAAGCAAACACCGAAACCCAAAGACCATTTACTGACAGGCAGAAAAGCCCTGCTACCCGTCCACTAGCTGCTGAAGGGAGTGTGTCACAAGGGTAACTGAATCACACAGAGAAGGTTAAGGTCAAGTCTCTATCTTACAAAGTCAGCCAACAACTGTGATACATTTTAGCAAGGCTTAAATAAAAAGCAGTGAAACATAGGTAAGCATACGAAAAGATGCTCAACATCCTGTCATTAGAGAACTGGAAATTAAAACAGCAACAAGATAGCACTACACACCTATTAGGATGTCAAAATCAGAACAATGACACCACCAAATGCTGAGTATGTGGAGCAGCAGAAACTCATTCACTGCTGGTGGCAATGAAAAATCCTACAGCCCCTTTGGAAGAGCATTTGGCCTTTTCTTACAAAACTCAACAAACTCTTACCATACATTCAGCAACCACACTCCAAGGTATTTTCTCAAATGAGTTGAAAGCGTACGTCCACACAAAAACCTGCACATGGATGTTTATAGCAGCTTTACTCATAGCTGCCAAAACTTGGAAGTTACTAAGACGTCCTTCAATAGGTGAATGAATAACAGGCATATTCATGTTATGGAGTATGACTCCACGACAAACAGAAATGAACTGCCAAGCCACAGGAAGACATGGGGGAACCTTAAACACGTACTGCTAAGTGAAAGAAGCCTGTCTAAAAAAAGCTACATATTGTATGACTCCAACTAGATGACTCTCTGGAAAAGGCATACTGCACACAATAAAAAGATGAGTGGTTGCCTGGGGCTAGGAAGAGGGGGAAACATGAATTTAGGCAAGAACAGGGAGGAATTTTAGGACAGTGCACTATCCTGTATGATACTGTAATGGTGGATATAGGACATTATCCTCTCAATAAAACCCACTGAACAGTAAGTACCACACAGAGTGAACCTTAATATAAGCTGTGAACCTTAGTAATAGCAATATACCAATACTGATTCAATTACAACAAACGTACCGTATTTTAAGTAAGATATCAGTAAAAGGGGAAGCCGGGAGTGGGAGGGAGGGGTGGAGGAAGGAAGTATAGGAGAACTCTCCTCGCTGTCTAATTTTTCTTTAAACTTAGAACTGCTCCAAAAAACAGAGTCCATGAATTTAAAAAAAATAGTTTTGAGGGATTCATAAAATGAGAGTGTCATCTGGAAAACTCATTGGATGGGACATTCATTTTGCAATGGTGCTACACAAGACAACTGTACTTACTAAGCCAGTTAGAATTGATTGAAAAACCATTCTTACCTTACCTGCATCGACCTTGAAATTATTAGTATAATACATGGCAGACACAAAATGTCAGGTTTACAATAGGTGATTCTATAACAACTAAAAACTCTGGGAAAAGTACTCCTTATTAGTAAGTGAGGCATTTGTTACTCCCAGCGGTGGCAGGAAGTGAACCAGTGACTGTAGATCAAATGTAAACTACAAAGAAAACACCGACAAGCAACCTTCTAGAAATTTATTACCAAATTACAACCTACGCACAAACATGACTAAGCTCTTGAGACTAGCACAGTAGCAGCACAAAACGTAATCAGAAGAGCACATTTAATAAATACAATTTAGAAAAATCTTTTCTTTAAATTAGGTTCAAAATACTGGAGACAAACACTGAATCCAGAATCTCAACCACACGCTTACAAACCAGGGCCACATGCAGTGGTCTCACCGGACATCACATCCACACAACGTTAACCTAGACTGTCTGCTACCTGCACCACTGGAGGAAGAGCTATGTGTCCACTCCTGAGTGTCTTCATGAAGTTCTTAGGTTCTTAGAGAATGGGCACAGGAACAGTTGGGTTCCAAGATTTTTACTGTTGTCACATCAGTTCGTATTTATGAAGCTGTGAAAAATAGGGGGATGTGTATTGTGTTTGAAACTGTCCCTTGAAGTGCAATACATCCAAATAATGAAGTGGCTCAAACAAAGAGGGGAAGAACAACTCAGACACTTCACAGAGGCTTAATATGGAATATATGGCTTTGCCAGAGGAAGAGTGACAAACATTTTTTTTTAGTTTCAGGGTTAAAAACAAAATTAATGGGAGGAGAGCAAGAGGAAAGAGAATGAAGTGCTGGAACAAATCTGCATAGATGATGAACTGAATTTAAATATGGTTTTACTTCATTCCTGCCTAAAACTAAGCCTGGGTAACCGAGGTAGACTCTGAAAGTAACATGTGCAAAAATTCAGGTTTTCCAAAGGACGTATTTAGTTATTTCACAGGTGGTAAAACAAAAGTGCATTTTATAGTTTTGAACTTAAAGGTAAAACGGAAGCCCTTCTATAGGAAGGAAACATCTAGATTAGTTCTTCATTCGTTGTGCCAAATTTCCAAATGTACAAAAACCGATATGCCGCTGGTGAGAAACCCATGCCCGGGTTATTTATGTATATATAAAATAAGGTCAACTAAGAAATGAGGAAGGTAAAATAGGAACACATTTTGTGACATTACCTTAATATCTTTCCTGTTTTTATTAACAAGTCACCTGGAAATTTAGAAGTATCAATAAAGCAAAGAATTGTCCGAGCCAAAAATCCTAATAAAAATTCAAAGAATTATTGTGAATGTTTAAAAACATATTATCTCAGTAATTTTATTTTTAAAATACTCAGTTTCTTCATTAAGAGCTAATATTAAAAGCAAGTATTCTTGAAAAATTAAGTAAATACGAAAAGTCTAATTTAAAAGTACAAATAAGTAAACTAATTATAACAGAGGTTTTAGCTTCCACTGCAAAAATAATTAGCAGAGGTGAGAATAAAACTTTTGGGGGTTTAAATATTTTTTCCTCTAACATGCCCTTAATTGTAATTCCTACTCTTTCCTATTGTTTCAGATTCTTAGATTCACATAAATATTATGTACATCACAACTTAAGTGGTATGTAAAAAATACACAATGAAAACAGTTAAGGAACAAAAGATAGAAAAAATGTTAAAAGAATAATTACTACTGTTTCCTCATATAAGCTTAGGCCCTTTCTTAGAAAAGGCCAGCAAACATCCTTAACCATTTATGGCCTATCTTGCAGGATACACACCCTAAGGCGATTTATCGGTAGTAAAGTAAGAGTGGGAATCTACCCTTATGCAAAAAAGACTCGATGATCAAAACAATACTGAGGGGGCCGAAGCCCACACAACACAGAGCAGCTACCTGTCCTCACTTCACCCCAGGTGAGAGTGGGGGTACTGAGACCTAACTGTGCCAACTGGGTTCTGTTTTATGGATTGACGGCGTATACAGAAACTTCCAAGGAAGGAATCCAAACAAATCCAAGCTGTTCAAAACCTAGAGTATCAATAATTTCATGTTCAACAGAGTCAGGCTACACCTAATAAAGTCAAAGAGTGACAATTATACACATATGTATACACATATTTTTTTCCTGATGTATCAGGATGTTTGTTCATAGTAGATTCACCAGATATTTGCACGCTTACTTTTTGAATTATGGCTTCACCCTACTCTTGACAGTCAGATAGCCCATCATAAAAATTGCAATCTCAGGAGCTCAAATGAAGCCCCCAGTTAGGTGGCTAGACCACAACACATTTCCTCTTCCAAGTTCTCTTGGCATTTTTGGAGGTACAGGTCCAAGCCCAAAGTGTGTTTTGGTCATTCTGGAGTGCCTACACTGCTAATGACTAGAAGATAAAGTCTGTGATGCCATAAGTCTATTTTCTACTTGGATGACTAGGAGGTTTCAGCCTATGTTAAAGAGTTGCTTGTCAGGTACATTTCATCAATATTAATTTCCTTTAAAAAAATAAAGGAATTATGAGAGCAAAATACTTACAATATGCATGTAACATGTATACATGTTTACCACAATCACATGTGTACGTCTTTACAACAAACATGTAGCCTGGGGAATGACAATGATGTTTCATGAAAATGGCTGACTGTATTAATAGTTATATTGGTCAAACAAATGGATATCAGTTCTAATTTTAAAACAGATTTTAAATAGAGGAAAACATATATTTTATCTTTCCAAAGTACACATAGATCACTGTGCCTCTCCATTTATGATCTGAACTATTTAGTTAGCTGGGGCCAGAGGCTACATAGTGCAGTTACATAAAGTGCCTAGTTGGACCTGCACTGCCTGGTCCAACACTGAACTACAGAGCTCCCCCTGCTCTGGCTTTTATACACATAAGCAACCAATGCAAGTCGACTGAATGAAGGAACTATCTGCTCAGACATCTATGAGACAGAATTATACAAAACTTAGTCTTGACATCACTGTGTTGCAGAACCCAAAGTATTCATGTTTTCAGACGAATTAAAGACACCAAATCTTTCTAACTTGTTAATGCAACACAGAAAAAGTGAAACTAAGCAAAGCACACTGATTCTCTCATTCCAGGTAAGGCAACATACTGTCCTGCAATAAAGACATATGATGTACAGTAAAGGGTAGAGAGAACACCTGAGGGAGATCCTCAGGATCCTTTCACCATCCACTGATGGAGCAAAATGAGAAACAAGGGAAATAAAAAACACACCTGACTTACTTAACATAGTAAAGATAGGCTTCCAGGAAGCTGGGTCTCCAAATACTGCTTAAGCGAATTTTTAGAAGTCACAGTTACCATGTTATTATCCTTGAAGAATTCAGGAAAAAAAAATGGAATGTATGTCAAGACAAATAACACAAAGCCTTAGAAAACTTAATCTAACTAATCAAATATACAAACAAGTTGCTGGTAAACAAAACACTAATGTTTTAATGAATGCCCCTAGTACTTCAGGGAAAAAAAATAAGTTACTGGATGGCAATATTTGTAAGATTATCTTAGTGTGATTATTCCTTTATTTAAAAAGTTCATGAATAAAAGAAAACTTCTCCTAAAGTAAAATGAATAATTGCAATTAAAATAAAAGTGATGCCTTATGACTTTAACTCATATGCCTCAGAGGAAATGGTGATGACTTACATACAGCATTAGATGAATACTGGAGTTTAAAGTTATCTGAAAATTCGTTTTTAGTAAAGGGGGAAAAAAATCACTTAAGCAAGATACTAAGTTGTTTTTTAAGTGTCCAAAAGGTTTTTTGTTTTTTTCTATTATTTTTAGTTTTAAGTCACCTATTGGTGCTGTCCAAAATTGAGAATTCAGGATATCATCAAAGACAAATTTTTAAAAGCTTGACCATTAAAGCACAGGTAGCCCAAACAAAATAGGGTAAATATTTACTTATTTTTAATTTTACACCAGGCTACTCTACACATGATTAGGTATATGCCATCTGTTTTTTCTGGCCTTTTTCTGTTGTCTAATTCGTGCTGAACTGAATGGCGAGACCGATTTCTATCCTAATCTTACTATGTGTACAAGTTACCAACTCAGACAAGAAATAATTTTAAAATAATATCATTCATTATGTACAATGTTATTTTGTTAAATAAGCTGTCTGGAAAACTATAAAGGTTTTGTTTTGTTTGTTTTGTATTAGCCACAAGAGCGCTGGCTTATTTCAAATACCAAAGTATTTATTTAGAATACGAAAGTCAAATTCAGCAAAAACCAAACAATGTTGGAGCTGAGAAAAAAAAATTAGGTTATCTGTTTGGACACATGGAAAGAAAAGTGAAAACAAACGTAAAGGTCTAAGAATGAAGAAGTGTATCTTATGCAATCATATTATTCTTCCTGCCCTTCCAATATGAAATGTAAGTAACAGCAAAAAAATACTAAAGACCAGAAAAACAACTTGGCAAATGATTCAAAAACTAAAAGCCTGAGGCTACTCTGACATGAAGTTCAATAACAGCTAATGGAAGAAATGGTGGGCGGAGGCTAAAAACTCTGAGCTCTATGGTAGGATCTAACAGTAATAGTTGAATTCGAAAGGTTTAACTAGCAAATTCACTATTCAATCCAAACTATCATTCTCAAGAATAAATAATGATTTGACACAAACCCAGTTTTGATGTTAAAAGTCAACATATATAGGTCCCTCACGTTCACAGCAAAGACCAGAAAAATACAAAGAATGACAAACAAGTAAGAAATAGAGGTCCTTCTAAATCTTTTGTAAACAAGTGTCTCCAGTAGCACACTGATTGCTTTCTTTAGCCTCCCTGACACGCTGGTTTGGGGAGTAATATTAATGCATAAATATGTGAAATACCAGCACAAAGTCAGGTGATGGAGACTAGCAGGCTCTCTATGTAATCTTTTCCTATTTTTCAACTACATTTACACTTTTGGTGATTTTAGATTTTTTTCCTTTAAATGAAAAGCTCTTCCATGAAAAGCTCCAAGCCACTTTTCAAAAAAATTGCAGGATTTCTTCGATTTTATGAACAAAAATATCAGAAATGAAAGAGCTGACAGAAATTCAAGCAGATCCAAATTCAACCATCCATTTTTCATACTTCTCCAAGTCTGCAGCAGAGACAGATTTAGCAATTTTCTTAAGAGCCAATTCAAAGTCTCCTTTGGTAACAGGCATCTGAAGCTCCTCTTTAGAAAGTGCACGGATCTCTTCTGGACTTAAGCCATTGATTCGCCGTCTCATTGCCATTAAAGAGGCATCCCTAAAATATACCAAAATCAGTGAATACTTTTTGTTGTAAATGTTTTAAACACTTTCAACTGTAACAACGTTAAAGGAAAACATTCAAAAGATGATCTTATATGTTTGTATGATGTTGCTCAGAATTTTCCACTTCAGAGTCATCCTGAGGGTTCAAGAAAGTTGTTAAAACAGGATGCAAAGAATTTAAACATAAAATGTATTGTTCATGAATCTTAGAGTGTAAGTTGGGCTCAGATGGTACTAAATTTCCTTTTCTCCACTTACTTCTCAAAGACAGCCATAAAGTTTAGGAATCTCATGTAGAATTTTGAAATACTGAATTGCATGCTTGGAAATGAACGTGCAGCGAATGTTAATTCTAATCCTGTACTGATTCGTCTACAATCTAATTAGGTAAAGCCAGGAATCTCTCTCTAGAACATGAGTATATCTCCATATAGTGGATGTGGAGTTCTCTATATGGAGTATTTGTGGACAACTGAAGGGATAAAATCTGGTTTCTCCAGATCCTAGTTTCAGCCCCATTCTGATCACCTGTAAATAGTTATGTAGGTTTGGAAATGGACAAATAGTGCTCACAAAAAAAAGCTATTGGGAAGCCAAGCCAACCAAAACTTCCAACTTTTATATATTGTATTATAGTGATAGTAGAAACTATTGTGAGCTTACTATGTGCTGCTAAACTTAGATGCACACAGGAATAATACAAGTAGAAAAAGTGAGAAACACAGATGTTATGGTTTTAAAGAAAGGGTACTGATGTCAGTTTAAGTATAGTTAGGGAAATAATTAAAAGAAAAAAACCCTCTTCATTGAGTGATGTGAGTTGTCTATAAATTATGATGTCACTTGAAGGGGAAATTTATATTTTTCTTCGCAGCTTACACTGATGAACTTTGCTCACTGCATGTGATAAAATAATGCCAAGCAAAACTAAATAAATTATTTTATGTTTATGAGCTAGGCTCTAATTTAGGACTACATTAACTTAGGTTGTCAAAGCTGTTATTACCAAGTTAGGCACAACAATTTCTTAAAAATCAAAGGATAGAAAAGGTGACCATATTGTTAGGTAATTACCCATCTAATAGTTACCAATAAAGTCATGAGGAAAAAACCACGACAAATAGGAAATCCTTTCAAGGAAATGAACAGCTGCTTTTCTGTCAAGGGCTAATAACTATACTGACTATAAGCCTTCCTGCCAAATCTAGCTAACATCTAAGGTCACAGATCATTAAAAAAAATACCTGCAAACATTAGTTATATCAGCACCAGAATAGCCCTCAATCTTCTCTGCTATATCTTCCAGTTGAATATCAGGATCCAATTCAACCTCCCGAAGATTGATCTTCAGAAGCTCAGTTCTTCCTTTTGCTGTTAGAAGATTTTTTTTGTTATTATTAAATGTTTTACTTTACAAATCATGTTCTTGAAAAATCACATATTAACATTCAGGAAAAGAAAGAGACCAAAGCAACGTGCAGGAAATAACTGAGTACACGGAGTACAGCTGACCCTTGAATACCATGAGTTTGACATGCAGGTCCCCTTACACATGTTTTTTCAGTAAGTATACTGCAAGAATTTGGGGGAGATTTGTGACAATTTGAAAAAGCATTTCCTTTTCTCTAGCTTACTTTATTATAAGAATACAGCATATACTACCTATAACATACAAAATATGTTAGTCAACTATATATCAATAAGGCTCCTGTTCAACAGAAGACACAAGGAGGTTAAGTGATTCCATGAATCATGCAGAAGGTGTACAGTTGATCCTTGAAGAGAGTGGGGGTTGGAGGTCTGACCCCTTGAACAAAAATCCACATGTAACTGTTGACTCCCCCTAAACTTAACTAATAGCCTTCTAGATCTTTCTATCTTACCAGATGTTCCAGCCACAACAGCTATCTGTCTATTCATTTTCAAGCAACAATGTTTTTGTTTTTGTTTTTCTCTATGAAAATTCAGCAAAAATGCAACTTCCTCTGTAACGTGTCCCTAAGCACCTTAATCGGAACTCACTCCTCCTTCCCCACTCTAGACGCGCTGTGGAGAACTCTAGTAGCATGTGTTACGCTGTTTTCACTGCAGTTAGGTTACGTATATGCCCACCTTCCAATCACACAGTAATTCTGTAAGAGCAAGGACTGTACATTATTTGTGTCTCAGATTGCAAAGGGCTAAACAAACACCTGTTGAATTAATACAGATGAAAGAAAATGAGTCCTAATTATGATTATTTGTTTGGGAGCTCTGTAGGAGAAAGCAATTTGACAAGTTATATAGTCCTGAGGTACACAGGATCAGAGAATCACCCAAAAGTGATCAGCTCTAATGGATGTAAAGTTTTCATAAGGGAAAACAAATTTAGAAAAAAACCCTTTAGTCAGCCAAATCTATCTTATTCTCTAATAATTCAAAGAAAGCTGAATTCCTACCCTTATACCATAAAATATGTCTTTTCCCCAACACCTAAGCTTTCCTCAGCAGTTTATAAAATTGATATCATTTAACTATTTTTCCAATTTCATTTTTTTCTCCCCATTACAGTGAACTAGAAGTTCAAAGTACAAAAGTTGACATGTCAGTTCAAGTAGTAAAACTTTTATTTTTCCCGTATTAATTTTTCACTTACGATCATTGTACATTGTAGTAAAATGAGAACTCATTTCATAGAAATATACTAGATATCATACACATATTTTATTTGTGTATGGAAAGCAAGGAAGAGAAAAACAAGGGGGAGAAAGAAAGGGAAGGAACACACTGAACCAGAAGTGACAGCCATTCAAACTTCAAATCTTCATGTGACTAATATAAAAGTGAGTCAGGCACTAAGGAGCTGCTTCTGGGAGGTGTAAAATTCCATGACAGCTTACAGGTTCTAAATCAAATCACTCCCATTACTGCTTTAAATAAGATTATTATTTTGTAAGCTCAATGAGTAAATTAAGCACTGTTATAAAAAAATTTTTTTTTTCTTTGTAAGTAATAAGATTAGAAATTAATAAACTATGTAGACACAGGTAGGAAAAGCAATACAACATGGACTCTTGTGAGCTAGAAATTTACCAATAAATTATATTATACCGCCCTGAGAATGTAGTCACAAAAATGAATCAGGAATATGTTATAAAAATTAAGTTTCAAAAGCCATATAGGTGAGGCTTGTGCTTCTGGCCATTATGAAAAAAATCAGACTTGTCCTATGGTAAACAACTGTAAAACAAAAAACAAGGGGCAACTGTTTTCATGCATTAGCCAACAGACAGCAAAGACTTATAAAGTGGCTTTTTCTTAAATTCTGCCAATAATCTGAGTGCCTGCTGGAACAAAGCTCAACACCCTTTAAAGGATAACAACATAATCTATACTCCCTACAAAGTAGAACATACAATAAAAATTATTACACATGTGAAGCAGAAAAATGTGACCCACAATCAAGAAAATTAAAAAGTAGTCAACGGAAACAGATGTTCCCGTTGCCAGAATTAGCTGATTACTACTATAAAGCAGTATACTAGTTTCATTTTTCTGAATAGCAAATTATACTGAAACTAAGTAGCTTAGAACAATAGTTTATTATCGTCACAGTTTCTGTCCATTAGGACTGAAAAAAGTTTAACGGAGTCCCAGTGACCTGTGCAATAATATCAGAAGTCCAACATATATGCAAGATAAATAAAGAGAAAAACCCACTTAGTCGAACTATGAAAACCCAACATAGTCAAACTGCTGAAAAACAAAGATAAATTGAATATTTTAAAAGCAACCATAGAGAACAACCACTCAAGAAAATGCCAACCTGTTTTGTATAGTTAAACCTACCACATGACCAGTTATTTCACTCACATGTATTTATTTATCCAGGAGAAATGAAAACATTTTGTCCACACAAAGAATCGAACACAAATGTTGATAGCTGCTTTATTTACAATGGTTTCAGACTAGAAACAATCCAAATATGCATTAGTAAGAAAATGGATAAATAATCTGTGGTATGGCCATATAATAGAATAATTACTTACCAATAAAAAATAACAATGGATCTCAAATAATTATGCTGAGTAAAAGCAGCCAGTCACAAAATAATACATACTGTATGATCCTATTTATATGAAACTCAAAATAACCTGTGGTGACAAAAATCAGATCAGTGGTTGCCTGAGGCAGAAGTTATCAGTGGAGAGAAGAAAGGACTGCAAGTGATACAAGAAGGCCTTTATGGGTGAGACAGGTTCGGCAGCCTGACTGTGCTATGGTTTCATGGCTGTCCACAGCTGTCAAATACACCAAATTTTAAATGGATGAAGTTTATTAGGTAAATTATTCCTCTGTAAAGTCGATTTTAAAAAACAACAGCCAGAGGGGATAAGATGCATTACATACAAGGTACATTACATGCATTGATATAAATGACAGCTGATCTCACATCAAAAAACAATGGAGGCCAAAAGATGACAGAATGACATCTTTATGAGTACTGAAAGAAAAAACAAAACAAAACAAAACCCCTCTTCTAACCCAGAATTATTTATCAATCAAAATATCCTCCAGAATATTGGGTAAAATAAAGACATTTCAGATAACAAAACCTGACCTTAACTATCTTTTCTTATGATATAGCTTCAAAAGTCATGTAACATCACATCTGCCTTATTGTATTCCTTAGAAGCAAATCATTACATCCAAACTTTCAAGGAGAGGAAAATTAAGCTCCACCCTTTCAAGGGATAGATCTCAAAGAATCAAAGGAAAAGTGATCAAAATAAATGAACAAGAGAACTTAACAAGATGAATGCTAAAGGAAATTCTTTAAACGATGGAAACATAGCCCTCAATAAAAGAAAACAGAGTAATGAATGATAAATACATAAATAAACAGAAAAGACTACACTCCGTGTTTCTCTTATTTTTCTTTAAGTTTGACAATTTAAATTTCATAATGCTGTGGGATTTATAATGTATATAGGTGTCAAATGCATGACAAAATAGCACAAAAGCACGGGAGGAAAATAGTTCTTACATTTTACATGAAGTAGGACAATATTAGCTCTACATTGGCTGTGATGAATCATAGATGCCCAACTACAAAGCCACAGTAATCAAGACAATTTGGTACTGGCACAAGAATACACCCATAGACTGACAGAACAGACTAGAGAACCCAGATCCCAGATATAAACCCAAGCATATATGGTCAATTAATATATGATAAAGGAGCCATGGACATACAGTGAGGAAATGACAGCCTCTTCAACAACTGGTGTTGGCAAAACTGGACAGCTACATGCAAGAGAATGAAACTGGATCACTGTCTAACCCCATACACAAAAGTAAACTCAAAATGGATCAAAGACCTGAATGTCAGTCATGAAACCATAAAACTCTTAGAATAAAACATAGGCAAAAATCTCTTGAATATAAACATGAGTAACTTTTTCCTGAACACACCTCCTCAGGCAAGAGAAACAAAATAAAAAATGAACAAATGGGACTACATCAAGCTAAAAAGCTTCTGTACAGCAAAAGACACCATCAGCAGAACAAAAAGTTCTCCCTACAGTATGGGAGAATATATTTGTAAATGACATATCTGACAAGGGGTTAATATCCAAAAAATGTAAACATGCCTCAACACCCAAAAAGCAAAAACCCTATTAAAAAATGGGCAAAGGATCTGAACAGACATTTCTCCAAAGAAGAACTTCAGATGGCCAGCAGGCACATGAAAAGATGCTCCACATCGCTAATTATCAGGGAAATGCAAATTAAAACCACAATGAGATATCACCTCACACTAGTTAGGATGGCCAACATAGAAAAGACTAGGAAAAACAAATGCTGGCCAGGATGCGGAGAAAAGGGAACTCTCCTACACAACTCATGGGTTGTAAACTAGTTCAACCATTGTGGAAAGCAATATGGAGGTTCCTCAAAAAACTAAAAATAGAAATATCATTTGACCCGGGAATCCCACTCCTTGGAATTTACCCAAAGAAAACAACTTCTCAGGTTCAAAAAGACATATGCACCCCTCTGTTTATCACAGCACTATTTATAATAGCCAAGAATTGGGAACAACCTAAGTGTCCATCAGTAGGCAATGGATAAATAAGATGTGGTACATATACACAATGGAATATGAATATTATTCAGCCATAAGAAGAAAACAAATCTTATCATTTGCAACAACATGGATGGAGCTAGAGGGCATTATGCTCAGTGAAATAAGCCAGGCGGAGAAAGACAAGTACCAAGAGATTTCACTCATTTGTGGAGTATAACAACAAGGCAAAACTGAAGGAACAAAACAGCAGCAGAATCACAGAACCCAAGAATGGACTAGCAGTTACCAAAGGGAAGGGGTTGGGGAGGGTGAGTGGGGAGCGAGGGAGAAGGGTTTTAAGGGGCCTTATAATTAGCACATATAATAAAGGAAGGTCATGGGGGGACAGTATAGGACAGAAAAGACAAGTAACGACTCTACAGCATCTTACTATGTTGATGGACAGTGATTGCTGTGGGGTGTTGGGGGGACTTGATAATATGGGTAAATGTTGAAACAACGTTACTAATGTGAAACCTTAGTAAGATTGTATATCAATGATACCTAATAAAAAAAAATTGAGTGAAAGACTTGAAAAGGCACTACATAAAAGATATAACAAGGACCAACAAGCACATGTGCTCCACATTATTAGTTACCAGAGAAATGCAAGTTAAAACCATACGAGATATGGTTTTCTAGAATGACTAAAATTAAAACACTGATAATACCAAATGTTAGCAAGCATGTGGAATTATTGGAATTCTCATTCTTTGATGGTGGGAATATAACGTGGTGGAACTAATTAGGTAAACAGTTTAGGTATAAAATTAAATATATACCTACCTTATGAGCCACCTATTGTGTTCTTATCTATATTACCCCAAAGAACTGAAAATATTTATCCATAAAAAGATTTGTACTAGAATATTTATAGTGTCATTCATAATAACCAAAACTTGGAAATATTTCAAATGCCCATCAAAAAGAGAATTAACAAATTGAAGTATAACCATATCACAAATTACAGATACATGTAACCAAATGGATGAATCTCGAAAACATTATGTTGAAAGTAACCAGACACACAAGAGCACATATGTCATTATTCCATTTATTTGAAGTTTAGTAATGGTTAGTAAAACTAATCTATGTTAATAAAAATCAGGAAAGTGAATGCTTATTGAGAGTTTATATTAACTGGTAGGGGACATGCAGAAACTTTCCGGGGTGATAGAAATGTCCTACATCTTAAGCAGGGTATTGATAAAGCAGAAATATTCATTTATCAAAATTCATCAAATTACACAGTTAAGATTTGTACATTTCACTGTATGTAAATTTTATCTCATATCAAAGAAAACGGTTCACTTATCAAAATTTCAAGACATATCAATAGGATGAAATATTTTCCAAAGCAGCATATTTTGAAAAAAATCCCAAGAAAACCTTATTTTTGATCACTTACGGTTTAATGAAGATTCTTCAAGTTGAAAAGTGAAAACTTAGATGTCCTACCAAATTTATGATGAATACTGCTCTGCATGTAGGAATTGCTCTGAAATGTAAGGAGCTTCAACCGAGTACGGTGGCCTCTGTCTCTATCTACTACACATTAGTTTTGTGATGCTATCTATGAACTTCTTTAAGCAGAATACCAGTGGAATATACTTAGAAGGGACAGAAAAAGCTAACCGGAAGTAAAACCAAGATCAAAATAAAGTAAAAGAAAGACGTCATACCTGTTGGGAGAGGGATATATATCCTTTTCTCTAACCTCCTCCTCAAAGCTTCATCAATGTCCCACGGGAAGTTCGTAGCAGCCAACACAATGACCATTTTGGAAGGATCGTCATTCTCTAGGGCTCCTCCAACTCCTGTGCACAGTCAAGCGGGAAAAGACTGTGTTTTCCTTGTAATATTCTCTCATTCAGTTTACATCCTAAGCACCAGCCACTGGCTTGGTGGTAGGTTAAATGATGAAAATAAGGCAGTCTTTCTGATCTCTGTGTAGTGGTAGAACCAGACACATTAGGAAGGAACTATAAAACGAGGAGGGAGAAGAATTAGCACCATCTATTGCAGGATTCTAATCGAACAAGAAAAATCCATTTTTTCTGAAGAGAAATGAATGTATATTGCCTCTGAAAAGAAATGGCATGAGAGATTATGCTGCTTTTTAAATTTTTTTATCTGTTCCTCAAAAAAATTTTTATTTTAGTTGTTAGTCTAACTTACTGATTTTCTCAAATGAGAACAGAAGAGGGTTCATATTTACTTAATATACCAGCATGCACTCATAATTTGGAAAGACAGGTTATACTGCAATAATTCTGTCCTTCAAATTTCTAAGTGACTTGTAAAAAATTACAAAAAAAATTAAGAGTAAACATAATAATCAGTCACTACTGAAAATACCATTTCTTTTTATACCCCCCAAACCAAAGTACATAGAGTCTACTTTTCCAGAATTATAATTTCAGAATTAAAAACTTCAGGTTACACAATGGAAACTCTGAAAAACACAAATTTTATTAGTAAGAGTGTCTAGCCTGTTATAACAAAGCAGTGGATTTAAAGCAACCCAGTTCAATATGGTATTTTCTTCATAAATACCTTATCATTTACCTATTTCAATTAATAACCACAAAGAATCAAGCTAACTAACAATCAACAACAGTCACTGCAATACAGTGAGTCATAAGAAATACATATTTCCCAGGCATATCTGGTCTTCACCCACAGTTCCTGAAAACACTGCAGTCTTAAAGGTGACATGGGTGTTTCGCCATGTTAGACTTGTAGACGCTCCCCCAAGGGCAGGGCTGGAGGCTGAATCAGCCCAATGGCCAATAATTCAGTCAGTCATGACTGTGCAGTGAAGCCCCTACAAAGCCCCTGAGAGGAGCTTACAGCTTGCTCCCTCAGACCCCACTCCTGGGTCAGTGAGAGCCTCCATGCTCGGGGAACCCGAGCTCCTCCACATGTCACGGAGCCGGGCCCCAAGCTCCGCGAGCAAAGTTCTTTTATTTGGGACCTTGCCCTCTATATCTCTCCATTTGGCTGTTAACTTGTATCCTTTATTAAACGGGTAAATGTGTTTTCCCGAGTTCTGTGCGCTGCTCTAGTAAATTAATAGAAACTAAGGGGGAGGTTGTGGGAACCTTCAATCTGTAGGCAACAAATCAGAAGCACAGGTACAGCCTGCAGCTTGGGACTCATGTCTGGAGCAGAGGGTGGAGGGCAGACTTGCAGGACGGAGCCCTTAACCTGCGGAATCTGGTGCCGTGTCCAGGCAGACCGCATCAGAATTGAGTTGAGTTCTTGAACACCCTGCTGGTGTTTGAGAAGTGCTAACACACACACACACACACACACACACACACACACACACACACACACGAATTGGGTCCAGAAACCCAAATGGAGCTATGCTACTATTACTGCTGTGGTTACTGCTGCTGTGTATAATACTATTATTTTTGTATATGAAAGTATACATAGCAGTCACAAATACCCCCTTATGAAATTCAGGTCACTAAATTTTATTCAGTGACATTTTTTGAACATCTAAGGCATTTTCCTCTATATCTCTGTCCCAAAATAGAACATATTCACCCTTTCTCTCATACTTTTGCAGAAGTTACATGGTACACTCATTGAGGGAAGAGACCTGTAGCACGGAAGTTCATATACCTTAAAGCGTCTGGCAGTGGCTACAGTACACATAATAAGTATTCAGTAAGTACCACGGTTGGTGGATAACCACAGCTGCTTTGAAACAACATGCTCTTGATATTATTTTTTAGCACATTTCATTTTCTCACAGTGTGCTTAAATAGCCTCCTGGTTACCATACAACTGCCAGAGTAATATGCCTCTAAAAAGCAGCTCAGACCCATCCCTCTCTTCCTTCAGTACCTTTTCTCCTTTGAATACCTTCTGCTAGTGCTTCAAAGCCCGACTCAGCTATTCCCTTCCATGACTCCCCTAGTCTGGGTGGTACCTCTTCCTGCTGTGTTTTCACTACACCCAGAGTTTAGTTCCACTTCAGAACTTCTAATGTATTGTAATTATCTGTTAAGTGGCCTGCTTCCCATCCAGATTAGTGGGTATCCAACTCTTTGGCCTCAGGATCCTTTTATACTCTTCAAAATTAATGAGCTCCAAAGAGGTCTTGTGTGTGTGTGTGGAGTATACCTATCAATATTTATCATTAGAAATTAAAAGTGAGAATTTTAAAAGATATTAATTCATTTTAAAGTAACAATAAACATCCATTATCATTAACATAAATAACATTTTTATGAAAACTGATTTTCAAAACAAGAAAAATTAGTAAGAAGAATGCCATTTTTTTTTACATTTTTGCAAACGTCCTAATGTCTGACTCATAGAGAATAGCTAGATTCTCTCACTTGCTTCTATTTTCCATCTATTATGATATCCCACATGTCTTATAGCCTCTGAAAAACTTCACTGCACACCTGTGAGAGAATGAGAGTGAAAAGGGCAAATAAAATGTTTTGACATTATTACGAAAACAGTTTAACCCTTGAAGACCTTTTAATAGGGTTTTAAAAATCCCTGGGGACCTGGACTACATTTCTCGAACCTTTGCTCTAAATAGAAGCTCCTTGAAGGCCATGACATTCTTGTTCTTTTTAAGTTCAGAACCTGGTATGGTGTTTGATTCATAACCAGCATGCAATAAATATTTTTAAAGTGCATGAACAAATGGGTAGATGCACAAATGACTACAAATTCATTCAGGTTGCCTTCTGGTCCATTCATTGAGAATTCCCAAAGCATAAATCTATACAAAATTGAAAAAGGAAATACAATAATTTTGAGACAGTAACTGAAAATCACTCACCATCCATTTGAATGAGTAGCTCCGACTTGACTCTGCGGCTTGCTTCGTGCTCATCGGAGGTTCCCCTTCGGCCGCAGATAGAATCTATCTCATCGATGAAGATCGTGGTGGGGGCATAAACTCTAGCCTATGTGGAAATATTTTAAAGGAACCATTCAATGATCTCAAATAATAGTGTAAACTGTTTAAAATCCCATTTCCTCCCTCAAACAACGGTAAAAAAAAAAAAAGAGCAGATTTCTCACTGCCACCATTTGGTTATTAACAGGTTAAATCCATCATTCATATCAGAAAGAGAAAATTTCTAAAACCAAAGGTAAAGTTCGATGGCAGATACACAGGGATGCACTATTCTTTCTACTTATGTGTTTGAAAATTTGTCTGGTACAAAAACTTTTAGGATAAATCATCAACTTCTATCCTCAAATATACATTCTTAACTATTGCAAATCCCTTATGAAAAAGGAACTTGAATAATGATCAATTTCTGACTTTGAAAATATGTACTAAAATACACTTTTGCTCACCTGGCTCATTAGAAATCCAGAAACATCAGTCAAACCACACATATTTCCAAAGTCTCTTTTACCCTAAGATGATGATACACTGAAGATTATCAGCTATGCCACAAAAGCCACTACCCAGTATCTTATTAATGTGTCAAGAACTATTAAATTAGAACTACACTTGCCCTTTTAAAAACTTAATCCCTAGGTGAATGGATCTAGATTATAGGGGTATCATTCACCTACCCAACAGTACTTTGAAATCTTAATATATCATCACTCACCATTTCAAACAATAGACGGACTAACTTCTCAGATTCACCCCTATATTTAGATGTCAGTGTAGAAGAGGAGACGTTGAAAAATGTTGTGCCACATTCAGTGGCAACAGCTTTAGCCAGCATGGTCTTACCAGTGCCTGGGGGGCCGACCATAAGCACACCCTGAAAGTTCAAAAGATGTATTAAATGACCTATCAGATTAAAATGCTTTCTTATGAAGTATCATCAACTACTGATGTACACGAAAATTTTCCCATCAAAGGATAAACTCAATAGTCACAGTGAAACCTTGGTGCACTTGGCATGAGTATCATTTCAAAGATTAAAAAAATGTCCCAACTCAAAAGTAACTCAGAGATGGGCTAACAAAAGGGCCTAGACAAGGCATTTTCTGATACATTTAGGAAGAACCTACTCAGTTTTTCTGAACCTGGGAGAAGACAAATATGTATCATTGAACACTGCGCTTAAGAGTAACTGCTCTGTTTAAACGTAATAAAAATAAGATGACATTTTCTACCACATGTAGAATTATACATTTTTTGCCATTCTAAAGGACAAAACCTATCTTCCATAACATACTTAGAATATACAGCTTTTAATCACAAATAAGTTTTATTTTTAGTTACATGGTTACAGTATATATTATATACACATAGTTATAGCATATACATAATATAGTTACGGTAAGTAAAATCTAGTGGCATTTCAAGCATAATCAAATTAGACAGCATTTTATCAGTTTAATGTGCTAGACTGTTGATAGTGTACATAAATAGTGCTAGTGATGAAAGAGCCACTAAATATAATATAGACTAAAACCTAAATTTTAGTTACTTCTCACCTTTGAAAACTAATATACAGAAAACTATTCTGTAAAAATAATCAATGAGGAGTAAACATTAGTCAAGGATACCAATCCTTTAGTCATGAAGCCTAATGGATTTTTAAATACTTCTTTTCTTCTAGCACCTTTAAATAGGAGTTCAAATACATAGTTACTACTACATTTCCTTTGCATAATAGTTGGTGATCTTAAGAGGAATTCTGACCTATTTGTTCATTTAGTTTAATAAGCTTCTGGGGATTTAAACTTTGAAAACTAGGTGCACATCAAAGTTTCAGAAACTCTAAATTCAGAAACTGTCCAAGCCCTTTTCCAGCTATAGAATTTGACAGAACAACCAGGAATCAATAGGGTTTGAAACACTAGTTTTATAAAAACTGTTCTGCTTTACAAGGATCTTCTAACTGTGCATGAGATTGATATTTTGAAAACTGAAAAAATAAAGATAAAGGCACAGCTACAGAGAAGTTCATATTTCTCTTTCTAATGTTCCTTTTCAATGCCCCCTCAGTTTCTAGTGTCATTAATGTGGCCATTTCCAATACAAGTTAATTTCCAACACTGGCATCTGTATATAGATATAGAATAGTATTTATAAATTTCACCTCCCCATGACATTACTCCCTTAATTATCTCGATTTCCTGTTACCTCCTTCTTCATTGGCTCTTTCCCCTTAGTATATAAACATATTTAAATCTGTCCCATTAAAAAAAAAAAAAGCCCTTCACCTCGCACCAGTTAGGATGTTTCAGTTTAGACAAGAAATAACAAATGCTGGTGAGGATGCAGAGAACGGGGAACCTCCTACATTGTTGGTGGGAATGTAAATTAGTTCAACCATTGTGGAAAGTAATATGGAGGTTCCTCAAAAAACTAAAAACAGAAATACCATTTGACTCAGGAATTTTACTCCTAGGAATTTACTTGAAGAAAACAAGATCCCTGATTCAAAAAAGACAGATGCAGCCCTATGTTTATCACAACACTGTTTACAATAGCCAAGATACAGAAGCAACCTAAGTGTCCATCAGTAGATGAATGAATAAAGAAGGTGTGGCAAATATACACAATGGAATATTATTCAGCCAGGAAAATATAAGAAATCCTATCATTTGCAACAACATGGATGGAGCTAGAGGGTATTATGGTTAGAAATAAGCCAGGTGGAGAAAGATAAGTATGAAATGATTTCACTCATTTGTGGAGTATAACAACAAAGCAAAACTGAAGGAACAAAACAGCATCAGACTCAGACTCCAAGAAAAGACTAGCAGTTACCAAAGGGAAGGGTTGGGGCGGGTGTGTGGGGAGGGTGGGAGAAGGGTTTTAAGGGGCCTGTATAATTAGCACTCACAATATAGGTAGGTCACGGGCAAGGCAGTATAGCATGGAAAAGACAAGTAATGACTCTATAGCATCATACTATGCTGATGGACAGTGACTGCAATGGGGCGGGGGGGTACGTGATAATATGGGTGAATGTTGAAACCACAATGTTGCTCATGTGAAACCTTCATAAGATTGTATCAATGATACCTTAATTTTTTTTAAATGTCCTTGACCCAGGAAGAAACAGAAAATCTGAATAGACCAATTACCAGCAAGGAAATTGAATTGGTAATCAAAAAACTACCTAAGAACAAAAGCCCTTCACCTGACCGTACACACCTTCTAGCTGCTGTCTATCTCTCCTTCCCATCTCAGCCAACCTTCTGAAAGAGATGATTCGCACTTACTACTTACTATTTCTTCTTCACAAGCTACAGTCTAACTTCTGCCTCCACTACGTCACTTAACAATATTTAGTTTACTAATCCAATTTGTCACTTTTCAATTCATACATTCTTTCTTTCTCTCCAGACCTTTGATCCTGCTGACACGTGGCGTTCATCGCCTCCTTCCTGAAGCCCCCCCACCCCCGCTCTCAGGTTGGTTCTGTGACGCTGCTCTTTCCTGACAGATCTCCACTGACGACTGTCGTGTCTTCGGGTCTCCTCCTCCCCTTCCCCTTTATATTCCCAAAGCAATTCTAAGCTGTTCGCTCTTTTCCCTTATGTAACTCCTTGAACAATTCCATCCATACCCATATTAACAACCACCACCTATATTTCACAATTTTAATTTAAACTCATATTCTAACCTAAGATCCAGACTTCTATTTCCAATTACCTGCTGAGTACTTACTTAAACAATATTTTGCTCTATTTAAATCTGCTCCTTAATCTCCAGCATCAGTTCATTGTCTCCTGCATAATAAAGAATTTGGCTGGCCTTTTCTCCCAGTTCCTGAGAGGTAGACTCTAAATCCTTGGAATTTCCCATGTGACAGGAGTGTCTCTGTTGTTCATGTTAAGCCCTGAAATTTTATGCTGATGAGGTAACTCATAGTGGGTCCCTAGATCGTTTATGCTAATGAAATGATTCAGGATGGGGACGGGCCAACCATGTGATTAGAGCCAGGCGGTATCAGCTGGACCTCTGGGGAGAAAAGGGGGACTGGACACTGAGACACACGGGCAATGGTTTGATCAATCATGACTATGTAATGGAGCCCCAGCAAAAACTCTGGATACTACGGCTTGAGCAAGCTTCCTGTTGGCGGTATTTCACGTGTCGGCACACACCCACGCACTAGGGGGGTAAAGCGCCCTGATTTGGTGGGGAGAGGACAACAGAGGCTTCACTCTCAGCGCCCTCCCACTTCTCTCCCGGTGCTCGTCTTCCTTTGGCTTGTTCTGATTTGCCTCCTTCTGCTACAATAAAGCTATAATTATAAATACGATGCTTTCCTATGTACTGTGAGTCATTCTAGAGAATTACTGAACCTGAGGGAGGAGTGAGAACCCCCAAACGTGCAGCTAGCTGGCCAGAAGTGAGGATGACCTAGGGACCCCCAAGTCTGCAGCTGGCATCTGACGTGAGGGCAATCTTGTGGAAATCTGACCTCAATCGGTGAAGTTTGGCCCAGTTTGGGGTAGTTGGTGTCAGAAGTAATTGCATTCTCCTTCACTTTAAGCCTGGGATCTGAGAGTCACACAGCTTGTCCCTCTTCTTCATCCCTGCGAACTATCGGTCATATTGTTATCACTTACCTTTTAAACATCTCTCATAAACCCACCTAGTTTTCAATAACAAAATGCCTTTGTTCGGTTCCCCATTGCTTGACCAGACTATCGCAACAGCCTCCTTCCTGGTCAGACTCCTATCTATACCCATCTATGCCTACCTCCAATCTGACCTCTGTGCTGCTGCCAAGGTGATCTTTCTACAAGTGCAAAACCACACTCCTGCTAAAAACTTACAATGCTCATCGTGCTAGGGAGGTCACAACTACCATTCCAGCAGTTCTAAAGCTCCTTTCAATACCTGTTGTAAGACCTTATCTCTTTCTTACATGTTGTTTTTAAAGTTATAATAGAGGGGGAATATATGGCAATATGTTCCCCAAATTAGGGAAATCTATAGAACAGTCTATAAAAGATTTAAGTTGTCAGAGGCCATCAAAATGTCATGGCTGTTCCAAGCTATTTGTGTAAATGCATGATTTCTCCTCCTCTCTACTTTGAGGCATGTCAAAAGAGGCCAGATGTATTAAAAAGAGAAACACACCTTCCTAGTCAAATCTGAAGAGCAAAGTAAGATCATGCTTTTATTTCATGCTGCCAATCAAAGGAAAAGAAGACTCTGACTACAACTAAGACCAAAAAAGTTCCAGGCAGCAACTGCTGGGTTTTTTAATATGCTAAAATGAAAACACTGGACTTAAGAGGAAATAGTTCTGGGCAGGCCTTAAACTCTAAAGCAGAGGGCAAACTAGAAAGAAACATTCTGATTCGGACTGAGAATTATACCAAAAGCAGTTTAAGTGATCAAAATCATTAGTGAGAAATGTACCAATTTTTAAAAGGTATTTATCTGATCACTTATTCTATAAGACGATGTACTACGTCAATTTACTTGTTAAGTTTTTATTTCCAGAAACAGATATCTAGAAAATTCTTAAAGCTAATCTCGAGCTCAGAAACCTCAAGAAAGTGACTTCAGCTAAAGACTATAGTTCCAACACCCCAAAGCCCCTCCTGCAGGCCTCTGCAGCACACCTCAACTACAAATTTAAATCCAGGTATTTGGGGTATATTACCTTCTCCAAACTTTACAAACTTTGTTAATAAACACAAAGAAACTACAATGATGTCTTTCATTATCATGCAAGCAGCATTTTTATATCTGTATTATTTTAATAAATTCTCACCTTCCATGGCCTTCTAATCCCTTTGAAAAAGTCAGGCATCCACATTGGAAGAACAACAGCTTCCCTCAGTAACTTCTTAGCTTCTTCCAGATCCGCTATGTCATCCCTTTGCAAGAACAGCAAAGTTTCATGTTTATTCAGGGACACCTCTGACTTACAGTTAATACTAATTCTTATAATTTGCTTACTTATGAAATTATTCTTATATTAAAAACAATAATTATTCTAATTCTAACTGCATAAAATGATCAGTGAAAATACATTGCAGTTATTAATTAGGACATGTTATTCGCTTAACCACCTTTGTCAGTATGTCGACATCAAATTAACATGTAAAATATCTTGGTTATATACTGAAGGAACTGTCTTGTCAATTCTCCAAAGTCATATTACAGATGAAGTCTTAGTACCCAGATTAACAGATAACAAGAGAGAGACTCACACCAAGCCAACCTGTAACTTGTGTTCTCTGCTACTTTGATTCAAGAACTTACAAGACTAACCAATGAATGCTAGGATTTCTGGATACAATGTCTCTCTCAAGGGCTTCCACCAGATCCTTGTCATATCCAGCACCATCAAATTTTGGAAAGTCACCATCATTTGAGCCATCTTGCATATTTTTCCTTCCCTGTCGACAGGTATAAAAAAAGCATTAGTCAATAACAAAATATTTTAATTAATATCATTAAGCTTTCAAAATATTATAATCATTTTTAAATTATAATTTATATTACAATTTAAAATTGTAATAGATGGCAATACTTTTTTATTATTTTAAGATAGTGTTTTCCAATTACCTAAATGTCATTCTCCCCTCTGCAATTCATCAGAATAGATGAGCTGGCCAACTTTACTATATACTTCTTCAAATCTACACTCTTGGGGGACAGCTGCAGGTAAGACTGAAATGATCCTTGCTAGGTTTAGGGGATTTTCTCCACCACCACAAAATATTTAGAATATTAATACAGAGGAAGAATGAAAATTGACTGAGAACCTACTACCTAGCAAGAAATCTCAAATATCTCACTTAATATAATAACTCTACAAGGTAGATATTATTATCCTTATTTTTACAGATAAGGACCTAGGACTCAGAAAGGTTAAGTAACTTAATAAAGTTGAGAATTATTTAATGTCAAAGTAGAGACTGTCAACTCGGGTATTTCCGACTCCCCAAACCCATGCCCTTCCCACATCAGACCCCCTCATGCCTGGCTCAGTCAGTTTACAGCTTAAGAGCAGGTTGTGTAGGTGTGGCAGAACTATTACATCCTCCAAAGCATCTGAGAAAGAGGCTGCAGAGGAGGAAAGAGTTGGGACTCTACCTTGCATCTTACAAAGCCTTTCCCTATTACTGTAAGTCCCCCTGCAAGGATTCTGGGTTTCTTCCTGGTAAGGTCCTTGGACCACATCATGAAGTCACGGTAATGACGATGGTAAAAAGACCTCTTTAAATAGTATTAGTAAGCCCATTAAAGCAATATACTTTACCCCAAATTCTTTATTTAATAATATAGTGGTTTTAAAAAAGAATTATATGCTATGGTTTCTCTGGGATTCTGCCAAGATTGACTCAGCACTGACGGGCTTTAAATGAATCGTGTTCAATTGCCAGAGGTAGTTCAACCACTGCACTCCTTCAGCGGAAAGAGCCAAGTACCCCCCAAGAGCTTCAGCCCCAGTTACTATCTAAGACAAAAATGAAAAGGGAAAATTGCCCAAAAAAATGCATCAATTTCTAAACCTCAATCTTAGGAGAGAAAAAAAGGAGGACTCTCCTACCACAAGTGCTGAGAAGGGACTACATGGCTCCCTTTGGGCAAATGCTTTAGTTCTTTAAGTCACTCAGTAAATGACCAACCAGTACTTTGGTGACTTGACCCAAAAAAATGAATAATTTACTGTTTCTGGATAGTATGATGGCATCAGTAAGCTAAATTTTCAGAAAGATTCTTGTATTTTGGATTACAGATGCCATATTGACTTTAATAAAAGGAGTCAATTTCTGGCATGCCTATACAACAAACATCACAAGAAATTTAAAATATGCTCAGCTGAGAATCACACTTTATAATAGACAGGGCAAGACTACAAAGTCACGTTCAAACGGATCACTGAGAACACCCTGTTCTCAGTATATGTTAATATTCTGTATATTAATATTAAACCTCATCCAACATGTATTACCTGTACAATTTGTAATAATACTAGCTACAGTGTTACTGAAGTGATCTTAGAATTCTTTGCTTAGGGTTCCACATTAATTGACTAAGGTCAATACTAGCAAGAATTTAGTATTTAGCATGAAGGCTGATATTTTACTTTCTTTTTACTAATATCTAAATTACCCACATCAAGGGAGGTTTGTTAGTGATCTTTCATTAGTATTGGCTTATCATTTTACTTGAGGAAAATGAGGCTAAAAGTAGTGACTAAACCTGATTATTCTAGGGTCAATTGATGGCACAGCTTAGCCTAAAATGCAGATAATGGCTTTTGCATCTTAATTGTGTGCCTTCACATGTTGGCAGATTAAATGAAACATGGCCAGTTACTACCTCTGGGCCCTGCATATCAAGAAAAACACTGACAAGTGAATTACACCCAGAGAAGGATGACCAAGGAGACAAAGGGTTCACAGACAATGTTCTACGGGGGAGAATCAAGGACATGAGAGACATTTAAGCTGAAGAAGGAAAATGCTAATGCAGTGACACGACCAACTGACCTACTTACTCCCATTTATACTACTCCAAAGGAAAGAACCACGACTACTATAAAGCAACAAAAGAAGTAAATTTGAGATCAACAAAAGAAAGAATTTTCTAACAGTGAGTTCTGTTCAACAAAGGAATCATCTTTCCTGTTAGGTAGTAAGTTATCCAACATCCGAATTACTGGCTAATTAGTAATAAACACCCCAGTCATAGGGGTTTCAAAACTGAATTATAACTAACCTTTCATTCTTCCTGTAAAGCCACTGCCTCTCACTTGCCCATTTATTCATCTGGTTCCTGAAATCAACAGCCCAAGGCAAGTGCAAAACTTCTTGGAAATCTCATCTTTTCCTTTTTTTAAAAAAAGTGATCTGTAGTCTATATCATATCTGTGTTAGTTCCCCACTTTCATGTCTTTATCACTAACACTAACATACTGCTTAGGATGCACCAGGCGCTGTTCTAAGCACTGGCATAACCACCTGAACGGTCCTATAACGTAGGTACTCTTATTACTTCCACCTCATAGATGAGAAAACTGAGGCACAAAGAAGTTAATTGGTCCAAGAACACACAGCTAGATCCTGGGCAGTCTGGCTCTAGAATCAGTGCTGTGAACCATGCTGCACCTATGACATACTGCTGCACACTGTGGGTATTCCCACCCCAGTGTGAGAAACAAACGCAGGAAAAGTTAGATAAGATCTCTAAACTGCCTCCCACCCTAGGACAACAAAAAACAGGTTGATGAATACAAAACAGTGCTTACAAATTTCAGTGTCATTCCTTGCATTAGAGTGTTAATACAAAATTTCTTTAAGTTGAAACTATGAATCTCCATAGCATTCTGCATACTTATTAATATATGTTCTCTCAACAATACTTACGAATACTTACTACGTGCCAAGCACTATTTTGGGCACTGGGGAATAGCAATGAACAAACAGACCAAAATCCCTGCCCTCATGAACCACACATTTACATTAGGAGACACTACACATAAATTAGTAAAACATTTTGGGATAGAACAGCAAGTAGTACTTTAATCTAATGCAATAAGGTAAAATAAAAGCAGAAACCAACACTATAAATTAGCTGCCATCAGTGAAAGTATTTGTGGATCTAATATCCAAAGGACAGACAAGATATTTCTTAAAAACAAGCCTTGGATAATACAAATAGCCAATAAACATTTGAAAGAACTTTCAACTTCATAAGTTATCGGGTAAATACACGATACATGGCAAATATGCTGGCAAAATCACAATGAGATATGATTACACCCACGAGACAGACTATATACCAAGTGTTGGTGAAGATGTGGATGAGCCAGAACTATCACATTTTGCAGGTCCAAGTGGAAATCTGTATTATCACTTTGGAAAGCTATTTGTGTTATCTGCTGAAGTTTAGCACAAGCATAGTTTACAATCCATCAATTCCTCTCTTAGGTAGAATGCTTGCCTCAGATATACCAAGGATAAGTATAAAACTATCCAAAGCAGCATTACTAATAATAGTCACAAACTCAAAGCAACCAAACGTTCATTAACAGTAAAACAGATTGAACTGTGATAATACTGTATGTTAATGTATACAAACAAACTCCCGATAATCCCAACAGCGTGGAGAAATCTCACAAACACATGCTGAGCAAAAAAGCTAGAAGAAAAAGAATATTTACTGTACACAGTTTCAAAGTATAAGTAACTAATTTATGGCACTGGAAATCAAAATAGTGGTCATCTTTAAGAAGGAAGTTATAAAATAGTGGTTACTTGGAGAGGAAGTGGCAGGGTTCAGGAGGGATCATAAATATGACTTGAGGCACTCAGTGCTTCATTCTTGATTACCAGGGTCACATGCAGTGGTGTGCTGAAGCTCACTTTTACTGGTTTGCAAGAGCCTATTATTAACTTTTCAGAAATTTCGTGAGCCAGCTGTGAAACACAGCCATTAATAAAAATTAAATTACAAAAACTTATTAACAAGGTATATTAAAAACAAAGGTAATACTCAAAACTCCTCACTTCTAATTATTTAACTATTATGTATGCACTTGAAGTTACTGAAGTCTATCGTCTTTGGGAAGCTACGTAACGGTAGGCTACTATACTCATCTCATCCCGACCGAGTTCAGTGACATCATGTTGGTGGCTTGGAATTAGTCATCATAGAAGTATTTATATCATGAAATCAGCAAATGCTACAAATCAGGGCTTGATTTATTGTTTTTTTATCTATACTTAAGAAAGTAATAGGGAAATGTTAATAATGCAAACGGAAGTGTTACATTGTAAAGAGCACAAAAAATTATGGAAATATTTTTCTAGTATTTGGAAACTATTAACCAATTCATCAAAGTTACTCAAATGATGAATGAGTGAAGTTCCAACATATGTTTCTGTTGTTTCAAAATGGCCACTTGTTACATGTAAGTCAATTAAATGAAGTCCTTTAAGTTTAGTAACTTTAATTCTGCAAATAAAATTTACTGTATTTAAATCTGAGTTCTGTTTAATCATACGAGATCATAACGGAAGGACTGCTCATTTTTCACTAAGAGTTAGTTGACCATAAAGCCACAGTCTTAAAAATACTTGGAAGTCTTATAAAAAATAGGTATTTTGACACATTTCAAGTAAGAGGCTGTACAACATAATGATTAAAAGCTCAGATATTAGAATTAAGAGTTCAGATCCTAGTTCCACCACCTACTTGCAATTGTGACTTTGGTTCCTCAATTTGTTCATACGTCAAACAGGGACTATAATGCTGAGTTCACAGGAATTTATAGGAATTAAATAAGCCAATATATGTAAAAGGCTTAAAAAAGGGCTTGGTACAGGTTAAGTGTTCTCAAGGAAGAGTGACATCTATTGCTACTCTGTTGTTATCAGTTGCTCCA